TTCACATACATTTTTTGATTTATCCTTTATTTTAATTTAATTATACTTTCGAGTTCGATATAATTAAGCTGGATATTTTTAATTAACATGGGTATTATACTTAATTGAGCAACTATATAGATTAACTCAATTCATAACTTGCAAAGGGTAAATTCACATAGAAATAAAGATAAAGAAATAAGGACAATTATTATTGTCTTTGCCATGAAAAACAAATTTTTTTTGTATACGTTTCCTAAATAGACACGCTTTACATTTTGTTACAAATTTAAGAATAATCTTACTTTGACAATTTGAAATTGGGATTCGCTTAATATTTTTCGTCTTCTATTTTAAATATATTTCTATTTTGACTATTTCCTAATATTTATCAGTAACGACCACCTTTACTAATCTAATGACCTAGAGTTCACCTCGATGATTTTACTCAAAATATCCTTGTATTTTTAGTCATACGAACAGTGCTTCTATGAACTTTTCGGAAGTTTTTGAATTTTGTACTGCGAATTTTGAATTTCCGTGGGTTACGTATATCCGATTTTCAATTTTTTTCTGGCGCTATGTTCGTACTCATGTCTCTTACCTATACCGATAACTTCGGCCATGTTGAATGTTCAGTTAATTTTTAACGGACGTGAATTAATAGAAAATGTCTGAGCACGTCAACGACAAACAAAAACATTGATGAAGTGAAGAAAATAGTTTTCGCCAATCGTCGAATCACCGTTAGAGAAATAGCTAAGGATCTAAACATATCGATTGGCTCTTGCCGTTCCATTTTTACCAATGATTTCGGCATGAGACGGGTCGCCGCGAAATTTGTACCAAAATTGCTAAGGAGCTGTTATATTCTGTCTGCGATGACCACGATTTGCTCCAGAGGATCATAACTGGTGACGAATCATGGGTTTATGGTTATAACGTGGAAACTAAAGCTTAATCATCCCAATGGAAGCTGCAGCACGAGCCAGGACCGAAAAAAGCGAGCTAAGTTAGATTGAATGTGAAGGTTTTGCTTACAATTTTCTTCGATTGCAGGGGCGTGGTGCATCATGAGTTCTTGCCACAGGGTAGTACGGTCAATAAGGAATATTATCTGCAAGTTATGCACAATTTGGGCGAAGTAATCCGCCAAAAACGCCTGGATTTGTGAAATAACAAAAATTGGATTTTGTACCATGATAACGCCCCTGCTCATACATCGTTGATTTTCGCGAATTTTCGGCCAAAAACAACACACTAATAATGCTGCAGCCACCTTATTTTCCAGATCTGTGACCCCATGTGACTTTTTCTTGTTCCCGAAACTGAAGAGGCCCATGAAAGGACGACGCTACGCTAACAAAAAATGAATTTTTGAAGTACTTCGAGGATTGGACAAAACGTTGGCACAAGTGCATAATATCTGGTGGGAATTACTTTGAAGGGGACAAAAAAGATATTCATGAATCAATAAATAATTTTTGAAAAAACACAAAATTCGCTATACTTTTGAACAGATCTCGTGCCTACATATGTTCTTATTATGCGCGCTTTGTTTTCGAATGCGTTAACCGTGTAACCAATCGTCGCGCACTCTTTTCTTTTAATGAATGTCGAACTCAACCTACAAAGGCGGGCTGAAAAGTTCGTAGGCTGACCCATATATTACTCTACTAGTATCAAATCCATATGATTTTAAGTTAGCCCTAACCTTCAAAAGACACCTGTATAAATTTGACAGTTGTTGCACTATTAGTATCTGAGTTATAGCATTTTTAGCGAAAGAACTTTTGTTGTTTGAAAAAGAAAGTGCTGTTTCAGCAAGACAATGCACTGTGTCACAAATCAATGAAATCAATGGCAAAATTCCATGAATTGGGCTTCGAGTTGCTTTCGCATCCACCGTACTATCCAGATCTGGCCCCCAGCGACTTTTTTCTGTTCTTAGACCTCAAGAGGATGCTTGCTAGACAGAAATTTCGCGCCGATGAAGAGGTAATCGCCGAAACTGAAGCGTATTTTGAGGCTAAAGACAAATTGTATTATAAAAATGATATTGAAAAATTATATGACCGCTATAATCGTTGTATCGCCCTCGAAAGGAACTATATGGAATAATAAAATCAAATTCTATCAAAAAAAAAATTTTTTTCTATACAAGCCTACGAACTTTTCACCCCGCCTGTTATAGTAACTTTTATATGATCGTGATTACCTCAATTGATGATCTGATGTTGTTCTGATTCGGGTCTCGTGGTTGCAGTGTGTTTTGTTAGCATGAGTGGCGAGGTTTTCCAGAGTTCACCTACTGGCCCCGAAAGCCTTTACCAACTTATTAAATGTAATTCAAAATTCATTTTCTCACCCTTTGTAACAGGATCGTAACCCCTAGTCCAATCCTTTTCTATTGGCCATTTTGCTACTTACCTAATCAGTGGATTGTAAACGTTTTAGGTTTGATTGAGAAAAGAGAGATTTTCTAGTTCATATAATACAAGAAAATATATGTGAGCCGTGGAACCAGTCGATCCGCACGCTTTTTAGTAAACGTAGAATGCCGACGCTTTTAATTTGATATATGCTTCATGTGCCTGCAATCTATGCAAATTTTTGTTGTTAGATTTTAGTAAATCATCAGATGATTATCGATTAATTTTTTTTTTTTAATAATTAGTTCAATTAATCAAAATAATAGATTGTTTAGACTAATACGGGTAATAAAAACAATCGATTAAACGAAATAGTCGATTATTAATCAAATTCTTCATTAGGGGAATAATAACTTGAGGATAATAGATACATTTTTTGGATGAAATTCATGGTAAACTTTTTATGAAAATGTATTTGTCCTAAATAAAGAATAAAAACACGAATTTTCATGTAATAAACTTTTTTATTTCAATTAATCGATCATTTTCTTAAAATCGATAACAATAGATTGTTAAATTTAATGATTTCCCAGCCGTAATATTTTTTCTTTATTTCTGGAAATTCCTTTTGAACGCGATTATTTTTCGATACTATGTTATGAATCCGTTTTTCGGGCTTTTCTTTCCATTAGAGGTATTATCCTTGTTATGCATTAGACTAATTCGAAAATACATTTGTAGATAACCTAAACAATGGATTGTTTGTTAGTATTAGTAAATAATGTAGTATTATCTGTAAATGTTCGGATGCCGCCATTGTAAGGCGCAGGGCAGCCTGTGCTTTTACTGAAGGTATAAAAGCCAATCTTTCCACATTGCACACTGTCGTTGTTGTGCCGTTTAAGTGTTTCCACCTCGTGCACATCTCTGCTAGTCCGATTTTATCCAGCGATATAAATCCCAGTCCCAACTGCAAAGTTACATTTCCACCGGAGTTAATAACAACGTAAGTGGAAATGATTTTTACTCTCTTCGCTTTTTGAATTTTTCGCGCTCTCCTAAAACAATTACCTATCGGAAAACAGAATTTTGCTTCTGTTTTTCTCCCTTTATTAAATGCGCCGCCTTGATGATTTAAGTTTAATTAACTGCGAACGTAACAAACTGTTTTATTATAGATATATGTTGAAAATTAATTATGATATATACGATAAATTATTATTTCCTTTTTCTTGATTAAGTAAAACTATTGTTTGCGCTACTTTTTAATAAATATTTACAACAAAAGGCTGTATAACATCAAAAGTAATTGTTATGGTTTTTTCTTTTCTCTTTTATAGTATTTAGATTTTATTTAATATAATTTACAAGTGACCAATTAAAGGCAATTATGCCTCAGTTAAAATTTAAAAATTATTTTATAGAAACGTCCATCCATCTTAATTATTGTTAATATTTAATTAAGGAATGCATGAATTTTAATCACTGTCTATTTTTGTTTTAATGCTTACTATGAGCTTTCTGATGAGCAATGTACCTATAGCATGGTAAATTTCAAATTTTCGTTAAGTCTATCTTTATGCGAAAGTGTTTATTTACATATGTAAATGTACCTGTACTGGAAACATTGATTGAATTTCCCATTAATTACACGTCCGTTAAAGTGTGTTCACTTATAATAGCCTACATTAAATACGGGTTTACATTTTCTTCAGAGTCATTATGATGCATGTAAAATGGCTATGAAAATTTATAAATCAATACGAAATGAGGTAGTTGTTATGGAGGTAGATTTATAACAAGTTTTTTCTTCTTTAAACGGTTATTAAATAATAAAGTGTAATGATAAAAAGAATAAGTAAGTAGGTACTTATAATTTTCTTTCCCTAGCTAAATGAATACTCTAATATTTAACATTATACAAAACACCATTTCGAAAATTATTTCGTTTATAATGTTCTTGCTGAATATTTACTTGAAATCTTGACCGTCGTCTGTCTGTATGGTGGAATTCGTTTATTATGACTCCGCCTATATTGACCAACCGCTTAATATGAAGTAATTACAGTGTTAAGTTTGGTTTTCATATTAAATCCTGTGTAGGAAAGTTTGGATATAATGACTTCGTTTAAAATGACATATCGTTTATTATGACTGATTCTCAAGAAATCATATCCGGCTATAGTGACCCAAATGATTAATAATAACATTTTCGCTCATTTTTCTGACCTTTCTTATGTATTTTGGTATCACAATTCATCGTTCTTTTTCTGTTAATAAATATATACAATTTGTAGTTTTTCTTTCTATTAAATTAAATAACTAACAAAAATAGAAATTTGTTTATTTACTAAGACTATTCTTTGGATGACGCCCGTTATGTATGACGTGTCTGTCATTTCCCATCGATGTCATTATAAGCGGATTCTACTGTACTTAGATGGAACAACTTCGCTCTGGTCGGTAATTTATTGAAACTGTCCGTGGCGTGCATATGAGAGCTAATAAGTTCGAAATCGCATCCACGTCTGGCAGTTTCTAAGAACTGAATGTGTTTAAAACCTATCATCCTCATCATAAAGTCGCCAGTCCAAAGTGTGGTTGGACACGCACCTCCACTCCTTCTTATCCTAAGCTAATTTTCGCATTTCCCCAAAACCAGAGCAACCGACATCTTTAACTATTTATGAATAGTAATCTCATCTAGGTTTACCTCTACTCCTCTTAACTCCTGTTTTTGCTTTCTAATATGGCTAGACCTTTAGGCCTGAGAAGGTGTTTTACCAACCTATCTCGCCTTTTTTTATTGACTTTCTCTCCTCTGTTCTCCTATTGTTTGTAATACCTCTTCATTTCTAACCTTCTCTATCTACGGTATTCTCATCATTCTCCACATTTCGAACGCTTCTAACCTTTTCTTTTACGCCGCGCCTATACTGTCCATGTTTCGCACCCGTACAGTGCCGCGCTACAAACATACACCTTCAATAATCTTTTTCGAATTTCCAAATTAATCGTTCGCGAGCATAGAAGTGACTTGTTTTTATTGAAGGCGACTCGACCCTGCGCTACAATTTGAAGCAATATTTACGCTTTTAATTTCGAATAGAACTTGTCCTTTAGTCATGTACACAAAAAGTAAAAAGTTTTTTGAAACAATCCTTTGGGAAGTTCCTAATCCTTTGCTTATCTTGTGTAGATAAGTCTGTTCTATTTAATGCTTTTCGTTCGTTCAGTCTAAGTCAAAAAAAGCTGTTTTAGTAAAATATCTTAATTACTATTCGTTAGTAACTAAATTTGTTAGTTGACTACATCTATCGTTTTACTAAATTAGTACCTTTAATTAAAACGAGTGTTACGTTGTTTTGCAATTACTGTAAATATCGTGTAACGAAACTTAATTTGTTGGGAGTCGAATAGCTGCAGGCTACACAGGTATATTGTCATTAACACTCCCTGTCAGTGGCTTATGTCAAACAGCACTACCGGAAGGAAGGTGCTGGTTTCGTGAAAACAATTTTATTTTTAATTTTATTATGTACATACATGGTTACCACCACAATATTGCACATTACCGCAGGAAAGTCTCAATATAGCCAGGACCGTATATTCATTTGGAGTCGGATGCATATGTTCAGTTGTGGTTCTCTTTTCAAAAAAAAAATAAATAATAAAAATAAATAATAAGCTGTAAAAAAGTAACGAATAACATTCAATTTTTACAAAAAATGCATAACCCCTCCCCCTTGAAAGTGCACCATTTGCATTATCTTATTACATCTGCTTTGGTTGAACTCCTCTTTCCTGCATCCAAATTCGAAAATTAATTAGAAAGGAGTTGAAATTATGAATCATTTTCCTTCAAATTCATAAAAGCAGTTTCCTCCACAAATCTGCCGCCCTTTTGTATCATAAAAATTAACTCAATTGATAACTTACAAAGGGTAAATTTACACAGAAATAACGATAAAGAAATAGGGACAATTATTATTGTCTTTGCTATGAAGAATAAATTTTTATTGTATACGTTGCCTAAATAGACACGTTTTACATTTTGTATTTCGTTGTACATTTAAAACAATTTTACTTTGAGAATTTGAAATAGGGATATGCTTGATATTTTTTGTCTTCTATTTTGAGTATTTCGTAAGTCTTTATTCATCTAATGAACCACTCTCTCTCTCTCTCATTCGATGATTTTATTCAAAATATCCTTGTATTTTAGTCATACGAACAGAGCTTCTATGAACTTTCTCCAAGTTTTTGAATTTTGTGCAAATACAGACCTACGTAAGATACCTTCCAAACGATACTACTCACGACTATATACGAGGCCTATTCAGAAAGTATTTTGAATTTCCGCGGGTTACGTATATTCCATTTTCGATTATTTTTTTGTGGCGTCATGATAGTACTCATGTCTCTCATTTATACCAACAAGTTCGGCTTGAATATTCAGTTAGTTTTTGACAGCTGCTTTGCTTGCACGTGGTTTGGTTCATCTTCGTTTTTTGCCTATTCCAAAAAATGGATCAAAGAATCTGTATCAAATTTTGTGCGAAAAACAAAATTAAATGTTCCGAATGTTGAGTGTGGCATATTGTGAAGCTACCTTGTATCGAAGCAACGTTTATCGGTGGTACAAACTGTTCTCAGGGCCGAAACAACAGACGCAAACATTGACGAAGTGAAGAAAATAGTATTGGCCAATCGTCGTATCACCGTTAAAGAAGTTGGTGAGGACCTAAATATGTCGACTGACTTGCCATTCGATTTTTAATAAATAACAAGCTGTAAAATTCCTAAATAACGCATAATATTCAATTTTTACAAGAAATGCATAACTGAAATTTGGGGCAACTTGCGGGGGCCCATTAGTTGGATCCCCCCTCCCCCTTGAAAGTGCACCATTTGCATTATCTTATTACATCTGCTTCGGTTGAACCACTGTAAGGAGAGAAATTTCCTGCATCCAAATTTGAAAATTGGTTAGAAAGGAGTTGAAGAAAATACTACAAATGGCGCGGTAAACACCATCTGCAGTACAATGCTATTACGTATACGAGTTTCGACAGAATACAGACCACTTCGAATTATTTTATTCGATTATGGTAACATGTCTATCACGATGAGGTGAGCTACGCCGGGATTCGTTTCAGCAAGTAAATATCCAAATATTTAAAAGGACCTTGTTGGAGCATACGTAACCTTAAAATGTAGCATTGTACTAGAGATGGCGTTTACCGCGCCATTTGTAGTATTTTCTAAAACGCGCTGTTGAGACAGCAGGTAAAAGTTGGCCTGTGTTCTGTCGGAGCTGTCTGTGACTCGTTGATGAGATCCAAAAAGATCGAAATTGCGATGCGCGTCTGGCAGTTTCGACAGAATACAGAACACTTCGAATTATTTAATTAAAGGAGTTGAAATTATGTATCATTTTCCTCCAAATTCATAAAAGCATAGTTTCCTCCACAAATCTGCCGCCCTTTTGTATCATATGAATTAAAATTGGCTTGAACCATTGTAAAGACCAAAATTTTGCCGTCCAAATTTGAAAATTGGTTAAAAAGGAGTTGAAATTATTAATCATTTTTCTTTATATTCATAAAAGCACAGCTTTATCATTATATATGTTACCTTATGACAACTCTGCCGCTCTTTTGTATCTTACAAATCAAAATTGGCTTGAACAATTGTAAAGACCAAAACTGTGCCGTCTAAATTCTAAAATTGATTAAAAAGGAGTTGAAATTATGAATCTTTTTCCTTCAAATTCATAAAAGCACAGTTTCATCATAATACTTGTTACCTTACGACAACCCTGCTGCCCTTTTGTATCATACAAATTAAAATTGGTTTCAAAATTTGAATTTGGTTAGAAAAGAGTCGAAATTATGATTTTTTTTTCTCCAAACTCAGAAAAGTACAGTTTCGTCATACTATATGTTACCTTACGACAACCCTGCCGCCCTTTTGTATCATACAAATTAAAATTGGTTTGAACCA